TAAAATATTAAAATACAGTACAAAAATATTTTAACGGTATTATTTTTTTGCTCTTTTTAATGTAACAAAATTTTTTATCAAATATGTAATATAAAAATCTTTTTATATGGAACATGTAATTATGTATTAAATTGATTATTAAATGATCAAGGATGTAGCACAAAATTTAAAAGGAATAACATAAACTTGAAAACGTAATGCATAAAAAAATAATAAAAATATGGAATTCTATTATGAAAAGGAATATTAAAGTCTCTATATGTATGTATATGTAGGAATTCGCCCACATTTGCATATAAATTCTGATATTCGACTTTATCTCGCAATAAGAGTAAAGTTACCTAAGAATGACCTATATGATACAGAAGACAAAGGACTCGTTGTAGATATCAGCAGAAGAACTTTAATTCCCTAGCATTAGCAGACAGCTATAAGTATAATCTAAATTTAAATTATTTAAAAACAAGAAAGGAGCTTACAAATAAGATATACTAAAGAATAAAAGACTACAGAATAAAATGTATAATAACAAATATTAAATTTATATTTTAATTATATTTATAATTATATTTATAATTATACATGAAATAAATATGTAAAAAAATTATATCAAATATATATCAATACATTTCATGACGTACTATTACTCTTTAGAGCAAGAAATTTAAATAAATAGACGTACGTTTTAAGCTTTACAACTTATTTAGAAATATATTGTTACAATAAATTCACAATCACTTTTATATTACGCGATCAATTTTACACATTTCTTATCAAATTTATGAATTTTCTATTTTTTCGGATGTCGGTAAAGACATTACATACATTTCTATTTTACGGATAGTGAATAACATAAAATATCCATTGAACAACATTAATTTATTCCACTGCTGATATAGTATTTTTGACTTTTTCTGCATTATTTATCTTCAATATTATAACCAAAATTTGTATAAAGATTTGTTATGAATTAATAGATTATTGTATAATGTTCTTTTTTCGTAAACTTAAAGATTGCAAAAAAACCTTTTTGCAACTCTTAATTTACAAAATTATTCCTTTCATAAGTTTTTTAGATAATATAATTAATTAAAATTTTATATAAAAATCTGCAAGAAATAATTACGTTCAACCTTTAACGTTTTATCTAAAATGGTAGAAAATAAATATAATTTTATTAAAGCAATAAGAATATAATAAAAATACAATTTTTTAGTAAACCTATGTAATTTTACAATATTATCTATACAAAGTTAATTTAAACATTTAATTAAACAAGCAGGAAACAATGAAAAAAGATAACATTTTAATAGATTATTTAAATTATCGATTTAAACGAAGAATATAAAATGACACAAAGTAGCATAATGATTAAGATAAAGAGAGACAAAGAGAGAGATGAGGAAGAGGATACATTGAGATTTGAAATGCCTCTCTCGAAGAAGTTACAGGTGGTTGCGTAAAGAAAGACAGGAAAAAAAGAAATTACAAGTACATTGCTGCAGAATAAAAGAAAAGCGGGATATAAGTAAAAAAATGTGCAGTAAAATGGACACAATTTGATAATTAAATTATAATAGTTAAATTATAATAGAAATAATTTAAATTTAAATTAAACAATGCATGCAAGCACAAATCTAAATTGGATATTCGATATATAATAAGACAGAAGCTTAAGAAGATTGCTTATATAGATGATTATAATTAGAAAATCTGAATATGCGCGAAATATATCGAAAATCAAAAGTATCACATTAGAATTTTAAACTTAAAAATATTTAAAAAATTAGCTATTTAACTTTAAAAATAGTAGAC